TCTAGGTAAACACAACCTCTGTTCATGTTTGGTCTCAAGCAAATCAAAATAGCAAGGTTTATGATGACCCTTAACCTCCTTACGACCAATGAAGTGTCTCTTACCCCATGAGATGTTAGAATTTCTTCCATAACAATAAGGGCGAATATGACCATGCATACCACAATGATGACAAATAAAAACAGGGGTACAGGTGTACCTTCTTTTCTTTTACCTTACCAACTCTAGGAAGTTTAAGAAGTCCATCCTTAAGTTGAATTTTTTGTTCTCCCTTTCCTTGAGTTCTTGTATCATGAGATGTAGATGCACTCTGTTTTTGCTCTTTGTTATCACCAAAGCCAAGGCCACTATTGTCAGAACAAATTTGTTGAGACCCAATGATATTGTCCAAAGTCTTTGATCCTCTGTTCCAAAGACCAATGGTAGCCATAGCACACTTGAGTTCTTCCTCTTTCTTGATCATTAGTTCTTCCAAAGCAACTTGAGACATCTCGAGAGTTTCAATTTTTTCTTCATATGTTGCATAGATTTGTTGTAGCTCATTCCTCTCTGTCTCACAAGTCAAGAGTTTTGCACAAAGAGCTTGTCGATCATTAGAAATCTTAAGGGCATCATTCCTAGTCTCAAAAATCTCTTCCTTTAGTTTGACAATCTCAGTTTCACATGTTGTGAGTTTCATAGTGAGTTTGTCATTCAATTTGGATAACTTAAGAGATTCCTTATACAAGTTTTCATAAGCTTGCTCAAGCTTTTCATCATTACTTCCCGAGGATTCATCATCAGTGGTATTCTCAACCGGGTTCTTCAGATACTCTGTTTGTCCTTCAGTTTCAGAAGCCGCTATGAAAGCAAGGAATTGTTTATGTCCCTTTTCGCCTTGATCTTCGTTGTCACTTTCATCTTCATTAGATTCTGATTAATCATCCCAAGTGATGGCGAGGGCTTTCTTCTTCTTCAAACGAGTGAGGCATTTTGAAGCAAAGTGGCCATATCCTTGGCATTCATAGCATTGGACTCTTTCAGAGTTCCCTTGTATCTTTCCTTTCTCCTTCTTGTCTATAGAATTAATTTTGAGTTTATCTTTGCCTTTAGATTTATGAGTATGAGTAGATTCTAAAAGATTAGGATTCTTTTTCAAAAAGGATTTTTTAAATTGTTTAACAAAAACAGCCATAATCTTGGAATCTATCTCACAATCCTCATCTGAATCCTCTCCAACTCTATGAGCACTACTAAAAGCAATATCTTTTTGTTTCTTTTTGAAATTCCTATGTGCCTCATAAGTTTGGAGATTTCCAACCAACTGATCCAGCTTGAGGTTTTCAACATCTTGAGCCTCCTCAATAGCCGTAACTTTTGGTTGGAACCGATCGGGCAAGGATTTCAAAATTTTTCTCACAACTTTGGATTCTAGTATTTTTTCACTTAAATTGAAGCTGGAATTTACAATGTCACCCAACTTCGCATAAAATTCATCAATGGTCGCACTATTTTTCATTGAAAGGTTTTCGAAACTAGATGTGAACCTTTGAGGTTTTGAGCGTTTCACCGAAGGAGTGCCCTCATGAATAGTTTGTAAGATATCCCAAGCCTCTTTTGTGACTTCACAATTGCAAATACGACTAAACTCTTCAGGTGTGACAGCGCAAAAGAGAGAATTGATAGCTTTACTATTCCAACTACTATTTTGGTCATTAATTGTGTCCCACTTTTCAATTGGTTTGGGGAAAGTTACTCCATCAATGGTAATTGTTGGTTTAGTCCACCCATTCATGATAGATTGCCAAACTTTTTCATCTATAGATTTCAAAAACGATCTCATCCGAGCTTTCCAAAAAGAATAATTGGATCCGTCAAGTAGGGGTGGTCGAACCATAGAATTTCCCTCACGAATTGAATCCATTATCACAAATCAAACAAGATCTCGTTCTAAAATAATTCTTTAAAAAAATAAAAAAAAAAATAGAACGACCTGCTCTGATACCAATTGAAAAATCTAGAAATCCCCTAGATGTTGATTTGTGATTATGTATCAATTTTAAGTAGTAAACAACAATTCCAATCAAACAATCAAGACAAATCGACACAACGATTTTACGTAGAAAAACCACAATTGGACACTTCCAATTGTGATAAAAAAACCCACGGCAACAGCTACAAAACAATCCACTAAGAAGATATAAAGGAATTACACAAGTATACTTTCAATTACCTAGCGAATCCACGCCCGAATTGAACCAACCTCTATGTGTCTCTTCCAACCCCGTCTTCACCTCGGAATTGTCTTGACGATGAGCCACTCTGGAATCCACCAAAGCTTCAGGCTCAAATTCTTCAGAATCCACCGAAGAACAACTCTCTCTTTTTTATAGAATAAACTAACAAACCTTTGATGTATGCTTCTTAAATCATGAGTTGAATACTCAATGAAAACATCAAAGAAAACTAGCAAAATATCCCCAGATATAAACCTTAGAACCCAAAAAGAAGATCTGGAGAAGTTAGTAAAGTTTTGGGAGAAAACCAACTACTTATAGAAATCCAAAGTAATCCTAGTTTTGGAAGAAAACCAATTCCTTATAGAAATCCAAAAATCTGTGTTCGCGCGGTCCGCTCGATCGTGGTAATTCCCGTTCGAGCGGAGGCTTCAAAAATTGTGTGATTCATATAGGCTTCACGTTCGAGCGGAAGTTTCCACGCTCGAGCGTCGAATCACACCATCCAGTACTTTTTCAGGCGAAGTAGAGATGCTGTGAGCTTGCAATCCCCGCTCGAGCGTCACTTTCCCCGCTCGAGCGGGACAACCAAAATTGGAAAATTTGGAAAACTAAATCCTGTTACAACCTCGGTTTTGATCCATGGAAATTGACAAAGGCACGATTCGGGTTGGACTCGCATCTAATAAACTCATAGCCTCACTGAAATAAAAGGTGCGAAAATAAATACAACTGAAAGGAGTTTTGTCAAATGAAATTGCCAAGAATAAAACCTAACATGATGTACATTTGAAAATGTGTTTTAAAGAGTTTGCTTTGTTTGTAACGATGGAAATACCACTTTTGAGCCTCACTGGATGACTGGAAATGCATTACTCTATCTGTTTCAAAATAATAGTCTTTTTGGAGGAAGTTAGTTCTTTTTGATAGTATAATTATTACATTTTAGAAATGTTAATTTTTCAAAAATTCACTTTGATAGTATATTTTTTTAGAAATATCAATTGTCATAATTATATTTTTTATATTGTTAATGAATTTTAAAAATTGAAAAAATAAAAAATTTATATTATTTTAATCATTAATTTTTGAAAAGAGAAAAATAAAATAAGTAATTAATGTTTTGAGATAGAGGAAATATCTTAATCTAATTTGTATTAGACTTGGAACTTTCTGTGAAGCTTCGCTTGAAAGTGACTATGAAGTTTTCTTCTCTCATTGGTCTAACTTTGCGGCCTCCACTTTTTCGGACACTCGCCACCTAATTTTAAATTTTGCAAGAATTCTTGACACCCCACTTAACCAAAATCAACCTTAACCCTCTGGCTGCTACTTCCTGCCCCTCCCAAGCTTCTACTGTCAGTATGCCCTTCCTTACCCGCCGGCCCCAACCCCTTCCCAATCCCTCTTGCCGCCCCTAATCTCTCTCCATCCTTTGGCGTCAGTCCCACAAATACTTTCCACCCTTCTTAGGCCTCATTTGTGGACTGAGTATTTTAGTTAAAAAATCACTATAAGTTATCACAACACTTTCTTTATTTTTCTGTATATTTTTTTGTAAAAAGTCAAAAAATAATTAAAATAATTTGTTTCCAAACAAAACTTTAGCGTCTACCTCCTACTGTGCCACTATTGATTCCCTCTCATTTACTCCGTCACCACCGACAGTCGCGAGTGAAGAGAGAGAGAGAATCGCAAGCAAAAAGTGGTCACTGTGGTGGGAGAGTTGCAGGGGGTTCTCGATGGTGGGGAGGGGCTAGAATGGCCTTAGATGGTGAGGAGAGGCTACGGGTGGCAGTTGGACGGTGAGGAGAGGCTACGGGAAGGATTAAGATTAAGGTTTGAAAAGTTAGAAATGAAAGTTACACTTGTTTGATTTATATTGTTTTTCAAAAAATTGAATTTTTTTTTGTTTTTGTATTTTTGTATTTTTGTTTTTATTAACTTTTTAAATATTTTATGTAATTTTTTAAAAAAAAACTTTTTGGATAAACCTAATTTAGATACATTTGAAAGTATAATATTTGTGAAATTGTTTTTAAAAAATTCACCAAATACAAAATATACAAAAAAAAAAAAAAATGAAATTTCAATATATTTTCGTATTTTGTTATGTTTGACATATTTTTTTTTTAAATTGTACAATTTTTTTACTTTTTAAGTATATTAAGATTAAGTAGATTTAAAAATTAAATAAAAATTTGATTAAAAAATTATTAAAAGTGATTCTAATGGCAAATCTTATCATTGAGCGAAGCCCCTCTTTCACAAGATGGGTGTAGAGAAAGCAAATTAGGGGAGTATTTAGAAGCTCCTATCTGGTATTTCTTATATGAGGACTCATAGTTTATTTTCTACTCATGATTATTCTAATTTTGCAGCATAAATTATTGAAATTACCCCAATTTTTAATGGACTAGAGTTCTGTTCCATGGTTATGATATTATCAGTTAAATAAGTTCATACTATCACAAGAATGTTGGAATCTTACTAACTGGTTCTATAATATCTATAAAGAGGGAAATTGTTGCATTTATTTGTAAGATTTAAACACATTGGCATTATGATTTGATTCAGTCATGTACTAAGTCTGAATTTACATTCTGTGATCATCACTTTTTTAGCTGGCAGCACCTCTGGAAACTCTTGGGAGAGCTGCAGCTGAGTTGCAATTAAAGAAAAGAACTCATTTTGGTAATAGTTACTCTGCTACTCCTTAGTGTTTTTTTCATTGTCTGTCCATAGAACAATTAAACTGTACATGTTCATAAAAGCATATTTAAATTATAAAATCCACCCCAATCCTAAAAAAAAAAATAAAATAAAATAAAATCTAAAATTCACCAATAAGCACATTGAATATTTAAATGCTCTTACAAAAAATAAAAAAATAAAAAATTTCCAACAAGATTTCAATTTTGGGCCTATTTCAAAAATTAAGTTGCAAATTCCTTACTTCTAGAATCAGATCTTCCCCTCGGTAAAATTTATCCTTTTGACCTACAAATGAATAGATAACAGTTGCAAATTATAATCTTTTGGAGAAACCAACTATTTAAACACTAGTAATGAAGACAATGAAGACTGTGGACAGAACACTTGCGTTGTCATCAGGAACAACTACATATCTCTCAATTGGAGAAACCAAAGCTTTCCCTGCTCACAAATAATAATAATAATAATAATAATAATAATAATAATAATAATAATAATAATAATAATGGAATTCAATGTAGTCCAAAATAGTGTAATAAACTCTTATTGTAATATACATGGGGAATTTTTTCATGTCTGATGGGAGTGGGAAGGGTTGGACTTAAAGGGTTCCTACCTGTCTTGGATTGTAGAATACACAAATTTATTTTGTAGGAACTCACATGTAGAGGGTCCATCAATAGGGAGATCATACATGTTCATGGAATAGGGTGATTAGCCTCTCATCAGTAAGTATGCAAATTAAAGTTATGTTTGGATAGTAGGAATTACATAGAATCTCATCATTACTAAAATATTCATTTCTGCATAAAAAGATAACAATGTCACTTTATAAGATGAGATTCAAGCCTATTTATTTAATTAAGATGAGATTCAAGCCTAGACGGGCTCATGGTATGCGTCCTTAGTCCAATAAGATGAGATTCAAGCCTATTTATTTAATTAATCGATAGTTTAGTTGACGTGGTGTTGAAAAACTGTCACACTACTGACCAAAATTAATTGAATATTTCATCTGAGTCCAAACAATACGAACATTTTAAAAAATATCATATACAGGATACTCACAATGACACGGGGAGGGATTGTCAATCCACTAGAGGCCCTTTTTTCTTTCAAAAGAGCAGCCCGTTTCTGCTCCCTCATCTACGAAAAAAAAAATGCAATCCTGCCTTTAGGCAATGACAATATTATCTTTTATTCGATGAAAAGCTACAAATACAAGACCCTTAAGAGTAAAAAGTAATATTGTATTGCTGGTTTGAACACATAAAAGCTATGTCCTTGTACATCTGATATGGTAATAACCCATTGGACTGAACTCACCTGTGAGCCTTCCATATCAATCATATTTCCATTGGCCAGAATAGTATCAACAACTTGTTCGTTGTCAAATACAACAAATCCAAAGCCCCGAGAGCGTTTAGTGACATTGTCTCTTATGATCTCGTGTTCCACTACCTTTCCATACTTTGAGAAGAAATTCTTGAACTCGTCTGAGAAGAATGGGGAACCAGTTTAACCAGGATGACAACAATAGCAGAAGAACATGCAAATTAAAATGTGCAATCCCAGGCTGTGATCTGGGGGCAAAAAAGAAAGTAACCACACCTTCAGTGCCAGAGATAGGTATCCCACCAACAAAAATCTTCTTTGTTTTACAATCCTTAGATTCAGCAGAACCTTTCGGAATTGTTCTTTTGATCTCAACCTGCTCAGAAATTTGACCGTGTAAGTTGCAATGCCTAAACCTTCTGACAGAAGATATTATCTTGGTCAAAGTTCTATGCACTTTCAGAAAAGTGGAGAGATTCTCCAGCAACTCAACAATCCAAATCTCCACAATAATAACAAATTTTATTGACAAAAATTATAGAGGCATCTTGGATACAATTCATCATAAGTCAAGCATCGGTCAAAAAACAGTACTTCACATCGCAGCACAGCTATGTCCTCAATGGCAAAACAACAGTTCAACCTGCTTCCAAACTAACCTAACCCTGTGCAGTAATAGGTAGTATGCCAAGCATTCTTTTGTTTTCCAACTTTCACAGCAATCAAGCAGAAAGCATTTCTCCATTGGCCCGTGATAAAGGGAAATCACATTGTTCACAGAGAATTTTAAACATAGTTATCGGTTAATAATGCATTTGCCAGTAAACTTTATTTATTTATTATTTTTCATGAGCAGCCTTATACAATATAAACCCAAAAAAAAATGTAAAAGGGGTTACTTTTCATTGCTTAGGATCTTGGGATATTAAAACAAAATTACCTGACACTAATCTAACTATTTCGTATATATTTTCCAAACTAACACCAGAGGGAGATAAATTTCCAAGCCAATCTTGAAACAAACACGTTTATTTGGGTGGGTACATAGAGGAAGTCTTGTGGAGAACAAAAATTAAATAGAAATTTAAGAGAGTAAGCTTCTGTTTACTTTGGCACGGAATGTTTATTACTTCAAGTTTCAAGTTCAAAGGCACTAAACAAGATGTAAAGTTAAGGAAAAGCATCAAATTTTCTGTTTTTCTTCTCTCTTCGCCACAGTTTTTCCTATCAGGAAAAACAGCAAAACCCAGAAACACAAAATGCACAAAGATTTTTCTTCCAAAGTAAATAGCCCAAGTGACGAAAAGCACCTGTTTGTCATTGATGACATGGGTTTCAGCAATAACAGTGTCAACAACAGAAGGATCAGCATAGGTGATAAACCCAAAACCCCTGGGTCGACCAGTGTGCCGATCTTGCATTATAACCGAATCTGTAATCTCCTCGTACTTTCCAAAGTACTTCGTGAACTGATCTGCACTCACACACCACCCCCAATCACACAAAACAAACATCAAACAAGCATATCATAATGTAAATTGAAGAATTTGCAATCAAACAAAACAATCTAGATATTTTTGCAGAAGCAATTGAAAGAAGAATGAGCTGACCTAATGTAGTGTCTTTAGCTAAACCCCCGATGAGATTCAAGCCTATTGTTCAAACCAGCAATACAATACATAGCTTTGATGAGATTCGAAGAGAAACATAGAACCAGAGAAAAAGAGAAACAGTGAGACTGATGAGATGAGAGAGTGAGGGAGATAGATCAGATCAGAGAGATATCTGATATACATATATATAAAACAAAAAAAAAAATGATCGGGGCGAGAGAGAGAGACAGAGACAGAGATTGAGAGAGAGAGTTTACCTGTGAGTAGATCGACGGTGCAACGATCGGTGCGATGAGATGAACAACGAGATAGTCAGAGAGTGATCGATGCAGATATGAAGAACAACGAAACGAGAGAGTGAAAGAGAGAGAGAGATATTTGGTAGAAATTATGGATTTTGGTTCTAAGGGATTGGGGATTTTGGGGGGCGCGGGAATGGAAAAAATGGGAGGAACCGAGCGGGCGGGATTGAGAAAAAAAAAATAAAAAAATTAATTTTCATCATAAATGAATATTTAAATAATAAAAATTTATTATTATTATATTTAAAAAATTGTTTCATTTTTATTTTAATGAATAAAAAATTATTATTATTATTTGTTATTTGGTAGAAGTAAGGATAATATTTTAATAAAAAATATTTTCTGTTAAGAGTGATGAGTGAGAGAGAGAGACGGAGAGAGAGACAAACAGACAAAGAGATAGAGAGAGAGACAGAAAAAGAGAGAGACAGAAAAAAGAGAGAGAACCAAGAGATGAGCGATACAAAAAGAGAGAGAAAGAGAGCGAAAAAATATAAACGAGAGAGAGAATAGAAAAATAGAGAGATAGAGAGAAGAGAGATGAGCGAGAGAGACAGAGAGAGAGAGAGAAAAAGAGAAATGAACGAGAGAGACAGAGAGAGAGAAAAGAGATGAGAGAGATAGAGAGAAGAGAGATGAGCGAGAGAGATAGAGAGAGAAGACAAATGAGAGAGATAGAGAGAAGAAAGATGAACAAAAGACATATAGATAGACTGACAAACAGACAGACAGATAGACAAACGGATAGAAAAAAAAGAGTGATGAGTGAAAGAAAGAAAGAGAAGAGTGGTGGTAGTTGAATGGCATTTACAGTAGTGGTAAATGAAGTAGAGAATATGGGTGGTGAGAGAAAGAGAGAGATTGGTGAGAGACGAATAGAGAAAAGAGATAGAGAGACAGAGAAAGAGACAGAGTAATGAGCGAGAAAGAGACAAAGTGGTCGCTAAAAGTGCATTTTCTTGTAGTGGATCGATAAATCGAAAGGGAGCTCAATAAATAAAGAAGAGATGAGGGAGAGAGTGAGCAAGACGAACACAGTGGGGGAGAGAGAGAGAGAGAGACAGACAGACAGACAAACAGACAGGCAGAGAGAGAGAGAAGAGTGATGAGTGAGAGAGAGAGACGGAGAGAGAAAGAGATAGACAGAAAAAGAGAGAAACAAGAGATGAGCAAGAGATAAACAAAAAGAGAGAGAAAGAAAGTGAAAAGAGATTAACGAGAGAGACATAGAAAAAAAAAAAGAGACAGAGAGAGTGGTAATGGTAGTGGTCATAGTTTCACCTATTGATTTAAGTATGGTATTTGTTTTGAGCTTTCAAATCATAATTCTACATCCATTTTTCAAAACTCAATTCAAAATATAATCATTACTTTTCGAAACTCATAACCAAACACATAATTCAAAACTCTTTTCAAAACTTAATTCAAATCAATTTTTTAAATATTTAAATATTTTAAAAATATTTTAATTTTGTGAGAGACAAATAAAGAAGAGAGATAGAGATAGAGTGATGAGCGAGAGAGAGAGACAAAGTGGTTGCTAAAAGTGTATTTTCTTATAGTGGATCGATAAATCGAGAAGGAGCTCGATAAATAGAGACGATGGGAGTAAGAGAGTGAGCAAGGCGAACATAGTGAGGGAGAAATAGACAAATAGACAAGTAGACAGAGAGAGAGAGGAAAGTGATGAGTGAGAGAGAGATAGACAGAAAAAAGAGAGAGAGATAGAAAAAGAGAGAGAAACAAGATATGAACGAGAGATAGACAAAAATAGAGAGAAAATAGAGCGAAAAGAGATGAGCGAGAGAGAGACACAGAAAAAGAGAGACAGAGAGAGAAAGAGAGAGAGAGAAAAGAAATGAGAGAGATAGAGAGAAGAGAGAAAGGCGAGAGACACAAAGAGAAAATGAGAGAGAGAAACAGACAGAGAAAGAAGAGTGATGAGTGAAAGAGATAAAGAGAAGAAAGAGAGATAGAGACAGAGAGATAGGAAGATGAAAAAATGAATGAAAAGAGAAATGTTATATCAAAAGAGTAAGACGACATTGTTTTTTTTTAATTTTTTTTGCGACAGAAAAATACCGTTGAATTTATTCAAACCATTTTGTGACTGTATATATATGAAGCTATCTCAAAACCACAATCAATATGCTAGGTTAGAGTTTTCCAAAAACTCTTTTTGAGAAAATTATACTTTCTTGTTTTCCGTGTTATATTGTTTTTGCTGAATTTTTTTAATATTTTAAGTATTTTTTTTTAATTTTTAGACACATCTAACATAAATACACCTAAAAAATTTAAAAATTGTAAAAGAAATCTTTTAAAAATTCACTAAATACCAAAAATACAATAATTCAATACATTTTTTTTTGTATTTTTATGTATTTATTAATTTTTAAAAATATTTTTTCATAATTTTTTTATTTTTTAGATACATTCAAGTAAGGTGCATCTAAAAAAAATATTTAAAATTTAAAAAATATTCACTAAAAACAAAAAAAAAAAACACAAAAGTCACTTTTTTGCAATGGTAGAAAATGCCGTCTCAAAAAAGCAGAGTATTTGCGATGGCACCATTTGCCGTCTCGAAAAAGCAGAGCATTTGTGACGGCACAATTTGCCGTCTCAAAAAATGACAGTATTTGCGACGGTATTTTCTTTCGTCGCAAATACTCTCATTTTTTGCGAAGGCAAATTGTGCCGTCGCAAATGCTCTGCTTTTTTGAGACGGCAAATGGTGCAGTCGCAAATACTCTGCTTTTTTGAGACGGTATCGCAAAAAGTGACTTTTTGAGACGGCAAGTGTGCCGTCGCAAATAATTCCGTCTCATATACTCACTTTTCTTGTAGTGATTACACCATTCTTATATTCTTTTTATATAGGTTATAGATATATATGTGCAAATTAGTGGGAAATGTTAATAATACAGTGTAGATACAACTTAGCTTCCAAATTACACAGCATGCCTGCACTTTGTAACATGTAGAGTTGAGTTGGAGCAGTTGATAATTTAAGTTTGATTTTAAAAATAAAGGAGTTATCAAATATGTTTAAATTTAATTTTTTTTAAAGTTAATCTTAACAAATTTTAATTGAACAATAACAAGTCGTAAATTATATTTTATCTGAATTTGTTTAAATAAAAAATGAATTAAAAAATTATGTTTTACGGCCCTAACGCAAGTGATGTACATTTTAAAATGTGTTTTAAAGAGTTTGCTTTGTTTGTAACGATGGAAATACCACTTTTGAGCCTCATTGGATGACTGGAAATGTATTACTCTATCTCTTTCAAAATAA